TGTGCACTAGGTTTTACTATCTCCTTTCTCTTTGTGACTTGTGATGAACAATTTTAATGCCGTTTTAGTTAGAGGTTTTTATTTTTTATTTTTTTCTGGAAAATGCTTGGTAAAGTTGGGATCTCGCTATGCCTTAAATATAGTGCACATATACAGTTATAAATGTGGACCATGCAGATTGTGTGATTTATTTAGAAAAGAAGGGGAATGATGGGATGTGTACTATGTTCGGTAGAAAGGATGGAAAAGGTGAAGGATGAAAAATTTGTTAATCTAATGATGGAGATTCATAACAAGTGTGCTATTTTGTAGCTCAACCATTAGATTAACATTTTTTTCTTCCTTTCCTCTTTCCTTGGTTCCTACTAAACGAAATGCAAGTGTGGTAGCATTTGATTGCCTCCTTATTTCTCTTTTATTTTAGTTGTAAACAATGTTTTATCATGTTTGCAGTCGGGATTGCCCAATATTTTACCGGAGAAAGAAAGCACAAAAGGATATGGTAGAAGCTAAGCAGCAGTTAGACCGATGGAACTTTTAAGTCTCTTGCAGATCTTTTTCAGTTGTCCAAGAAATGCGTTTTCCCTCATCAATGAGCATTTCATGACCTGTGTCCATGACCAGAAGGAACTTCTCTGTTTAGAATCAGGGCGATGGAACTCAGGATAAATCACCCCTTGTAATGGTCTTAAATTTGTCCTTTCACTGGTGCATCAAGGCTTGAATCATCGCCAGCTTTACCACTTTTGAGTTCACATTAACTTCAGTAGGTGGCTGCATAGTTGAAAAGTTCCTTTGAAGCTTCTGTTCCTCAAGGTTCTTAGACTTGTAAAATGTTGAGCAATGTAAGCATTTTCTAAGTTTATTTTCCATTTTCCCGTGTCACTCCAATGCAGTGTTCATACTGGTACTTCATGGAGGATTACTGGCTTTGTGTTGACCCATGTAATGGTAATATGCTATTGTATATTATTTTTGTTACAGTGCCATTTTAGATGTTAAAAAAAAGGGTCGTTCTTGAAAAATTTAGTTCCATTGATCATATAATCACTTTTAAGAGACGGATTTTAGCAGATTTAGATTTGAATTCCATAATGGGCAAAACAATGTACAAAATTTGGTAGGAAAATAATGGAAAACAATGACTTTTTCCCCTTTAAGACATATCAAATGAGCCTTCAACAAGAAGCATGTCCATATGGTTGAAGTACTGCAAAATGAAATGGCTTTGTGAATAGAAAAATCAAACAAAGTTTGGTTTACCATAACGAATTCAAACCACAATGAAAGATAATGGAAAATAATAACTTTCTCCCCCTTTAAGACCTCTCAAATAATAAGAGATTCACATCAACTGTTTCATTCTCATAATCAATACTATTCTTTACGAAAACAGTAAAATATGGCAGTGTACTTTCATAAAAGTATGTAAGTATTTTATTTATATCGAGTTTAATAAATTCATGAAAAATTATTTTTTTACAGTTTTTCAGAGGATTTGAATTCAAGTAACAAAGAGAGAAACACACTCACTTTGTCACTTGAGTCAATCATCCGTTGATAATTTATTCTGTCTTTTAATATGTTATTTATCGCTTTTTTCATATTTCAAAACATAAAGGGTTATGATAACCATGCTCATATCTTAAGAGGGTTTAGTGGATGAACGATATTTTGCATTTCTTTCAAGAATAGCAAGAAAGGAGAACAAATGCAAAATGTAAATTTGATTAGCAAGCATGTCATTTTAGCTTAGTTCAACCAAGAAAATTCCATTTATGCTAACAACTTTATATCAAATAAAACTACTTCTATAAAAAATTCAATGAAACACTAGAGATTTATCTCTTAAAATCCACATTTCCCTACTCTGTTGATGATATAACTGCCAACAAACAGTCAATAAGTTCATTACTATTAATCCTCTATATGTGTTTGTGATGTCCAATGATCATGAAATAATCTCAAAGAATAAAAAGATATATGTTTTCTATCCTTTCATCTGGCATCATATCCTATAATTCCAAGAAGTAAAGTTGATAAGAAAGTAAGAACTAGAAATGAAGGCATATTCATTGACAATTTGACATTTAAACAATACAGTCCATCTCAACTATTAAGAACTCTCGTGAACAATGCCAGATAGGAAAAGTAAAACTTTTCAAAGTGAAACTCATTTCTAATATGCAATGTCTAGGCCCTTCCGGGCATTGGTTCTTATGTGTTAAGGGCTTGAATTCCCTAACCCTTCAATTCACGAGAATTCGTATTTTATTATATTCATATCGTGTCAGATGTGTATAAAACATAAAATATTTTTGTACCAAATTTGTAACTCCAACACAAAACAAATATATATTTTTATTTTTCTAAACTCCTATACAACTTCTGCTAAAATTTTAAAACTGTGACTTCTTTCCTATTGTATTAGTGTCCTGTTTAAAATTACCCAAGTCTATGGATAAGCTAATAAATATCCACAAGAAAAATGGCATTAAAAAGCTAAAAGAAAGCTCATTAGCCAAATAATCTCAGACTTTCTATAACCTGAACAGGATTGAAGAAAAACAACCTGCTCAACATCATCTCGGTCAAAATCATCTCGAGTCTGGCTGCCATAAATGCCAGCACCTTCAGCATCAACACCGTTCTTGCCAAGCTTGAAACAGCATCGAGTTCTTGAACCATTCGAGGGTCCTATTCTTGATGGCCCTGCCCAAGATAAAGTGTTTTGAGTACCCAGAAACTTGGGACTGAATTTTGGCAAACAAGGAACAGAGTTTATGGGTTTTGAAGTAAAGGTATTTGGAAAGTACATTGTGTTGAAGCCCAAGAAAGAAACCCACAAGCCTATTATATCGGCTAAAGGGTCCGGTTTTGCCCATTAAAGAAAAAGGGCTATGTTAGGTTAATGGTTCACTGAACCAGGAACATTGGGATCAAATATTTCAGGCTATCCATCCTACCCTCAGGACCACAGCTCACGAAGTCAGAGTCATGATCCATGAAACAGGGATTTCTACCAAACTTCTACCATTTCATCCAACCAACAGTGCAAAATTTATGAAATTCACTGCTCTTGAACACTTTCCACAAATATATTTCCCTTGACCTCCTTTTCTTTTTGTTATACAAGCAATTACAAGATAGAGGTGATAATAATTTAGATTGAATTTAATTTAATTTTTTAATAATATATAATAATATAAATTTTTAAAATTTGATTCAAATTTAAATTAAATTTTTTTGAAATTGATCTAATTAAATTGAATTTTATCATATCAATTCGATTCGATTTAGTTCATCAATTTTGAAATTTTATTTTTTTATTTTTATATATTATTTTAATAGAAATTTCAACATATTTAAATAAATTTTTATATAAAATAATTATTTTTATTTTATAAAAATTTAAAAAATATATAAAAATTAATAAAAATATATAATTTGATTTGATTCTTTTTTTTTTTTCTATTGTTTACATCTTGATCCTAAATTTGATTTGAACTTAATATATACATTTAATATTTTTTTTAATTCGAAAAGATTAAAAAAAATCGATCTGAAATAAATCAAATATTATAATTTTAAATCGATTTTTAATTTGTTTAATTTTTTTTCACTCCTAATACAAGGGGATTAAAAAATCATGTTTTTGGGATTTCACCTTATTCTTTATTTCAATCATACACACACAAAAAAATAAAAAATCCTCTTTTTTTTTAAAAAAAAGCCTTAATTTATAAAGTTTGCCAAATTGAATGGTGTAAGCTCATTATCTGCCATTTTCACTCAGTCTCTTTTCAGAATCATTAGTCCATAGCTGGTTGGCAACTAATCCAACAGCTAACTTTAATACATGGTTTTGGATGACTTGACAAGTTGTGAGCCAGTTTCTCTATTTTCATTTACTCTTTTTCCTACCCAGAGTGGCAAACCTGAAAATTTTAACAAATTTCTTCACATTCTCCATCTGTTATTTATAATGGACATTAGTCATATACTTCCCATCACCCCATAAAAACTTATCCATGATAAAGTAGTATGATATACAATCAAAAGAATGAATCTAAAAAGAATCCAAAATTTAATTCAATTAATTTATATAATTATTTTTAAAAATAATATTTAATAAAATTTAAATTCGAATATTAATACGTGCAATCACTTTTTTTATATCCATACTATTTTCTTTGTAAAAAAAAAAAAAACCCTTAAAAAAAACCACCCCACAACTGCCTCCATGCCTTGAAAAGTACTCAACTTGTTCACCAGAAAACACCCCCACCAGGCCACCCTCTTCTAATCCCTTTTGCCAATCTTACCAGTAAAGACAGAACAGTTGCTTTCCTTTTCTTGTCCCATGGCATCGTTTAACAGCTACTTTACCTAGTATGAGATTATTATGTTATGTTGCTTCGACTGTTCATTTTTTGTATATCGGTGAGTATTCGATTTGAAATGCTTCAAAATGAACATCCATAAGGGAATTAGACTTAAAATGCAAGGAGAAACTAACAAAATATTGGAGATAATGGCAATCTTAAGCATAGGTGATTCGAAGAAATAAAAAAAAAAAGGAAAAAAATATGATTTAAAATTTTAACAAAAATCGTACGGGCGTTTAACAAAAATAAAAAAATATACTAACCCTAACGTGCGTCCATGTCAAACAAGTATCTATATCTAATTCTGAAACCTATATATCAGCAAAAGTAGTGTGGGAACAGGCTACGTAACTCACTATTCAATCCTGATCATCAGTAGGTAATTGACCCGACGATGCACCAAACAATATTAAAATTCAACCAATGTAGTTAAAAGATAATAGGCAGAGAAGTTAGAAGCTTAAATGTTTTAAGGGCAAGCACATGAATGGAATGATCAGGCCATCATTTGATCCTCCAACCAGGGAAAAATCTAGCGCTGTTCACTTTAGATAAAGAACATGTGGTAAAGAACACCAAATGGCCCAGTCTCAAAGAAATTTCCCCATCAAAACAACACTAAGAACAACCTCTCTTCATCTACAAACCTCCTTCAATCCCATCAAACAAAGCATGCAGAGATCAAAATCCAGTGCCAGAAATGTTCCAGATATTGAAATGGCTGCACATCCTCCTGTTGAAGTAGGTACCAGGGGGACTGTGGGATCTTTGGTACTGCAAGAGATAGAGTACTTCAGTCGGCTTGAATTAAACTGCCAAGATAGCTCGAAGAAGCCCCATTTGAATGTCAAAGATGTTGGTGCTTCTTCTAGTAGTCAGTCCAGACCTCTTGTTGGGCCTGTTATAGCAACTCAGAAGAAGAAAAAGAGAGGAGGCAGAAAGCTCCGACCAAGCATGTGTTCCATGGTGGAAATTTCAGAGAACAGGTCAGTTGGGATTCCAGGGTTCAGTTACAGGAACCTGAAATCTGATGAGAAGAAGTTGCAGGTCTAGATAATGCTCTCAGAAAGCTTAAAGAATCCAAGCTTCTTGAGACGCTTTGTTATAGGGCTAGCCCATGTCTATCCGGATTCCCACATTTTATGTCCACAGCTTCAACAGTGTTAGATACTTTTTTGTCACTTTTCTGTCTGCTAGGAACTCTATCTAAAGGAATAATATCAGAGACAAGCATTGGAATTTGATGGATATTTTTACTAAAGCTTTTTGTCTTCTGGGCAGTTTGAGGGCTTTTATAGCTCTTGCTGTCTGCCACTGGTTCTTGGTTCATCCGATGATTTCCTCACCTGTAGTCTTTTGGGAGTCGCAGAACCACAGGCAACTGATACAGGAATTGTCTGAGATTTGTGTCTAAAAGATACAGGTGTTTGTGGTGCCGGTTTAATGGAGTCCAGTTCCCTTGTCATCAGGGAACTGATTGTCCCGGTTGTCCCCACCTTAATCGATCCTCCACTGAATTGATAGCTTCTAGTTTTCGAACCATGTTTCCTCTATAATTTCAAAGCCTGTTTCGCAGAGCCTGTCATCCAACAACAACTAATGAATCAACAAAGTAATTATGCTACTAATTTCAGTCTTTATGCAGCTCATATTCTTCATATTTGATTAACCATTTTCTCCACAAGTTTCTCAGTAAATTTGACAAATAGAAAGCTACAGATATTAGTTATTCAAAGAACTAGATGGAGGGTTTTCCATTCAAGCTTAACGCAGTATGTGGATAAATATTACTAAAGAAAAGAAAAAGAAAAGAAAAGAAAGGAAAAGAAAATTTAATACATGTATTTCGGATAATTAAAATTAATAAAAAAATAAATTTTAATAATATTATTTAGATAAAAAATAAAAAAAATTTATTATAATTTTTTATTATATATGATTTTAAAATATTTTTAGATTGTGATATATTTATTATTTTATTTGATCTCATAATTATTATTATATTAATAATTTTTAATCAAATGAAATAAAATGATGTTTTACAATCATGTATTAGAGTCATAAATGTTCTGTACACTTATTTATAGATGATCGAAAGAAATCAGTACAATGCCGCCACTTTTTGACTAGAGAAATCAATCCATTGGAGTTGTCTCGTCCATTAAAAAAGAACTTTAGTCAAAATAGTACTTTTGGATAAGAAAGTATGTACGTCTTTTGGTAGGAAAGTATGTATATTTTTTTATTATCTTGTTGACTCATTAAATTTAAATTAAAATATATTACACATAAAAATAAAATATTTTGAGTTAATTTGATATTTTATAAACTCAATAAATATGTGTATTTATATTTAATCATTTATAAAAATTAAATCATTGAAAAATTATAAAAAAATATTATATTAAAAGAGACATGTGAAATTTACTTGAAAATTTTTTTTGATGTAGTTAAGTTTTTTTGATTAAATTTTTAATATTAATAAAAAGATAGATATAATAATCTTTTTATAAAAATAAAATTTTTTAAAAAGTTTTTTCTTTAGTTTTTCTTTCAAATTAAGATATTAAAAAAGTGATGATTACAAAATAAATAAAAAATTATTGAATTTTTACCTTTTTTTTAATTAAAAATTTATCCAAATAAAAAAATAATTTTTTTCTATTACTTTTCTTTTTTTCTTTTCCTTTTTTCCCCCTCTCCTTAATTCAAATATAGTGTAAAGCTATGTTATTTTTACTACTAATAGAACCCGGATCTTAAGCTCCATTTGTTTTGTAAAAAATGATTTTTCAAAAATAATTTTTAAAAAATGTTTACATATTTTGAATTGAAAGAAATTTTTTATTATTTGGATGAGTTAATAAAAAATATTTTTTTTATTTTCTGAAAAATCTATTTTTTAAATAATATTAATATAACTATTAAAATATTAAAAATTATTTATTATTAAAATATGTTGAAATTATTTATTATTAAAATTGTTAATATTAAAAAAATTTATATTTTAATAATAATATTTAATATTATGTTAATATAAAAAATTCATTAATATTTATTAATATATTATAACATTATTTATTAATAATATTTATTATATATTATATTAATAGTATATTATTTATTCATAATTTATCAATAATAGTTAATGAAAAATATTTTCATTGTTTTCTGAAAAATCTGTTTTTTCAAATAATATTAATGTAACTTTTAAAATATTAAAAATTATTTGTTATTAAAATATATTGAAATTATTTATTATGAAAATTATTAATATTAAAAATGTATATTTTAATAATAATATTTAATATTAAAATATTATGTTAAAATAAAAAACTTAAAATAAAACTATTTATTATTCTTTATACTATTTATTAATATATTATAATATTATTTATTCACATATTATTATATTATTTATTAATATATTACAATATTATTTCTTAATATTATTTATTAATATTATAATAATAGTATTTAGTTATTAATAATATATTATTTATTAATATATTACAATATTATTTCTTAATATTATTTATTAATATATTATAATCATAGTATATTAGTTATTAATAATATATTATTTATTAATATAATATTATTTATAAATATATTATAATATTATTTATTAATAATATATTAATTATTTATATAATATTATTTATTTATATATTATAATATAATATTATTTATTTATATAATATTATTTATAAATAAAATTATGCTTAAAAGTATTAACAGATTAGTTCTACTCATAAAGAACTTTATTACGGAAAAATATCCTTTTTTTTTATGAATTTGTAAAATAATTTTAAAAAAAATAACTTCATTTTTTGTTGATCAATAAATTATTTTTTGTTGATCAATCAATTTTTTATCAAATAAATATCTAAAAATATAAAAATCACTTTCTGCGAAACACACACGAAACCTTAGCTTAATAAAATCATGTAGTGATCACAATAGATTTATGATTCAAATTCCAGTCCACTTTCTTATTCCAGTCCAGTTTCCAGATTTTGCTTCAAATCCCATCACAAAACCAAAACCATAAACCAAAAATAATACATTGATCCCCCTCAGAAATCAAGCAGAAACAGTACCAAATCCTGAAGAAACATCATCTACATATATCAAACAATCAACAAACAACAAATCATGGAAGCCAGAAGAAAAAACAAAGAATCACCAATCTTTCAAGAGATTCAACATCATATAGAACTTCCAACAGCAGATTTGGGACAAAAATCACGTGTTTTTTTTTATTATGTCACCTTCAGAACCATATCTAATCACTAACCTTCATTGCATTTGAAATCTAGCTTTTCGCAAAAGCATTGTGTCTTATTTGTAACTTGTCAGACCAGTCAACTAACACCAATCATTGCGCAGTAAAATCTGACTCTCCAGCCATGTTTCAATAACCAATGGTAGTTTGCCACGTATAAATATTGATACTCTTAACTTTTGATAATGTTTTAATACACATTGAAATGATTATGTACAGTGTTTAATATTGAAAAAATTTGCTGGATTTAAAATTAAATATGAAAATGATTTTTTTACCCTAAAATATTGAGTTTTTATCACTAAAGTGTGTCTATCAAAATTACCAACATTTCTTTTTAAAATTTTGAATTTTTGAATGTATGATCAAAAGTTATGATAAATGTGATAACGGTTGAGATTGAATTAGATTTTATCCTAATTTTTTGAGTAATATATAATATTATAAATTTTTAAAATTTGATCTAAATGCAAACAAATATTTTATATGATTCGATCCGAATTGAATTTTATAAGTTTGGTTTAATTTATCGATTTTTAAAATTTTTTATTTTTTATATATATTATTTTAATGTGAATTTTTAATGTATTTCAATAGTTTTAGATATAAAATAATTATTTTTATTTTACAAAAAATTAAAATATGTATAAAACTAATAAAAATATATAATTCGATTTGGTTCTATTTTTTCAATTTTTTGCTTCTTGATCTGAAATTTAATCCAAAATTAATATAAATATTAAATATCTAAACTTAATTTAAACCGAATAAAAAAAATCAATATGAATCAAATCGAAAACTATAATTTTAAATTGATTTTCAATTTTCTCAATTTTTTTCTCCTTTCTAATTCATGGTACCACTGCCAAGGGAGAATGAAAACTTTAGCTCCATTAATTGAATTCAACTAATGACTTAGAAATGAAATTTATTTTGATTAGAAAATATTACCTCATCTAAAAAAATGATTGTTAGGGTTTTGGCTCATAAAATAAAAGCTAAACATTGAAATAAATGAAATTTCGTGGCTCATGTGTTCTTTTAAAAAAAAAAAAGTTTCATTGCCCAAGTTTTGAGTGGAGTTTGTTAGATTGTGAACCTGTGATTAAGATTTGTTGGCTTACTCATGGACTATTAAACCCATTTTAGATCCACCAATTGGGACACTCTTGTATCTCCCAAGCCCAATGATCAAATCCATAAATTTTTCATGGGAAACAAAAATTAAAAAGAAATTTGGAAAAAAAAATGAGGAATTTCATGATTTGAAAAAAACCCTTTTTTTTTTCTAAATTAATAATCATTAGAACAAGAAAACATTGTTAAGTGCAAAGCATGAGTGAAAAAGTTTGATTAAGGATAGCATTATTAACAAAATTGATTAAAGCAAAGAATGTTTTGAAAATCTTAAATGGCAAGATTTTGTGTTTGACTTTTTTTTTGTGTATTTTTTATCTTGTTGAAAATAAACTATAAAATTATAAGCTTGAAAGCTTAAAATTTTGATTTACATAATGGAAAGCAAACATTTATAATTTCGTAAATTACATTATGTTTATCACATATTCGAATTCAATACTTTTAAAATAAAATCTCAAATTTTAATTATCGAGACATTTCCTTTTAAAACACTAATATTAATTTTTGCTATAATATCTGATAAATCCCACATAGGAAGGGTAGATAAAGTAAGTTTGAAGTTAAGACTTGAAAGTATAAACTTAGTAGATTTTATGACTTATAAAATGCATTCCTCTTTAAAATTTGTACTTCTATAACAATCTACATAATATTACCATGCATTAAGTTTTGGTCGGTAGGCAATGTCTAATATATTCCATGTTTTTAATGATATTTCAAAACATACTTTTAATTATACTTTCACATGTCCAATAGAAAAATTGTTGGAGCCTGCAACGAAATTTGATATTTTGAATTTATCAAATTTTAAATTCGAGATTTAATAATAAATTTAAATTTTAATATTTAAAATATTTTTTTAAATTACGATCGTCTTTATACAAAAGGAAATTGATATTAAATATTAAACTTTAATGTGATAAAAGTAATTAATTTGAGTCTCTAGTTTTATACATGATTCCATTTAGCTATTTGTAAATCAAAATTGAATGGATGTACTTGAAGGCATGTAGGTACATTTCTAACAAGTATTTTTTAGTTCACAATATGTCTAGGGTATGTTTCATACCATATATATAGATATACATATATATTTATATATATATGGCATGTTCCATACCCAAAAAAAAAAAAAATTATGGCATGTCTTTGCTATTGTATATGTACTTAATTTATATAATTATTCAACATTTTACTTTAGTTAACAATATGATGGTTGTTAGATTGTTATTTAGGAATTAATTGTTTTTAATAATATCTAATATTTTTAAATACATTAAAGTTGAGTCAAATTAATTATTCATTTGAAATAAAATAAAATAAGATATGTTAATTTATAAATTTAATTGTAACAAAAGAGTATAAATTTTGTAAATTAAAATAAGAAGAGATTTAAATATTAAACTTTAATATTTTATTAAAAATATAATTTATCTAAAAAAATTTGCAGGCTATGGTTTTTTTTTTTAATTTTAAAGATTAAAACTTCATATTCACACCAACTTTAGGGGTAATTCACCAAAGAAATTTAAAATAATTAGTTTCAATCATTTTAGAAAAAAAAAAAATCAACCAACAACCCTAACAAATCTCAACCCAAAAGTTTCTAACACCCACCAAACGAGGCTAATATCACGTTTGGCTTTTGAACTATTATATATTTTTTTAATGTGATTCTTAAAAAAAATGTATAATTAAATACTTAAATTATATTTTTGGGTATTAAATTATTTTAATTTTTAATATTATTAAAATAAATTAACGTAATATTTAAATATTAATGTGGATGACACATGATTTATATGTGATTATCATGTATTATTTTTAAAAATAAAAAAATATTTAAAATATAATTTATAAAAAAAACTTTTTTATTATTGTTTATAATAGATGATAACCACGGTATCATTATATGATAATAATGTGTTATTCACATTAATATTTAAATATCATATAATTATTATTCAAACAATATTAAAAGATTAGCGTAATTTGTACACAAAATTAAAATTTAGATATTTGATTAAAATTTTTTTAATTTAAATATCATATTAAAAAAATTATAATAGTTTGGAGATCAAATGGATTATTAATATTTTTTTGTCAAATCTCTTTATGATGAATCATGTGTCCCATGTTCAAAAGGTCCCATTTTTCATTACTGCGCCCAATCACTCAGATTACAAGAATTTTCCAATCAAAATCAACGGTCATGATCTTCTCATCACCTCAAACCCTAACCTCCTACCCTCCAAAAACAAATTAAACGTTCCAATTATCAAATTCAATTTCTTTTTTCAGTTTATTAAAACAAAAGGATTTAAAAAAAAAAAAAATCCCCTCTTTTTTTTTCTTCTTCCTTCTTGTTCTTCACTCTCTTCAGATCTCAGCCATCTCTTTTTCTCAACACTCTCTCTTTGAGCCCTCAAATCTCTTTCTTCATCAAGTTTTCTTTCATTGCATGCAAAATCCAATCTTTTTCAATTCATAGAACAATTTCATTTCCTCAAAAATCCTTTTTTTTTTTTTTCTTGTTTTCAGTCTCAACAATCCCAGTTTTCTCTTTGAAGATTCCCACATTTTCTCTCATTGAACTCCAAAAATCTCATTGTTCATCAACTTTCCTTTCAATGTATAAAAAACCCAATTTTTTTTCACTTAATAGAAAGCTTTCCCATTTTATCAAAATCCCATCTTTCTCTTTGTTTAAATCTGTAAAATCCCATTTTTTTTTTCCATTTTCAATCCATTTTTTGTCTCACATTCTTTTGACAATGAGTAATTCCCAAGCACCCAAATCAGCAAAAGCTTCAAAGGCTTCAAATTTACCTCCTCCTTCAATACCTGCAAAGCCCTCTTCAATTTCTTCTCACCTTGCAATGGTGGAACTGAAGCAAAGGATTTTAACATCACTTTCCAAGCTTTCTGACCGTGACACTTACCAAATTGCTGTTGAAGATCTTGAAAAGGTCATCCAATCTGTTTCCTCGGACTCCCTTCCCATGCTACTCAATTGCCTTTTTGAGTCTTCCAATGATCCAAAGCCAGCTGTGAAAAAAGAGTCTTTAAAGTTACTTTCAATGCTATGTAATTGCCATGGTGAATTGGCAGCTTCCCATTTGACTAAAATCATTGCCCACATTGTTAAAAGACTGAAAGATGCTGATTCCGGGGTGAAAGATGCTTGCCGTGATTCGATTGGGGTCCTTTCAGGGCAGTATTTGAAGGGGGAGAGTGGAGGGACTGTGGTGGGATTGTTTGTAAAGCCATTGTTTGAAGCAATGGGCGAACAGAACAAAGGGGTGCAATCTGGTGCAGCAACGTGTATGGCTAAGATGGTGGAATGTGCAACTGATCCTCCTTTGGCTGCTTTTCAGAAGCTGTGTCCAAGGATCTGCAAGCTGTTGAATAATCAGAATTTTATGGCTAAGGCTTCCCTTTTGCCGGTAGTGGCGAGTTTGTCACAGGTTTGGCGCAATGTAGTTGTTTTTAGCTTGATTTTGATCATGTACATTGTCTAATTCATAAGGATATGGATGATTTATATTGTTAGTATTTTGGATGTTAAATGGCAGCTTAAATGAAAGTATTGTGGTTTCTTAAATGGTTATGTGCTTGTTTCTCTGGCTGGTAATGTACATCTTGTTAGAGTTGATCATGCAAATTAGGTAGCTAGGTGGGGAATAGATTTTAATACTTGAAGAATTGCACAAATAGGGACAAATTGAAGTTCCATAAAAATTATGATGACCTCTTTGCAGGTGGGAGCAATTGCACCTCCGAGCTTGGAATCTTTGCTACAAAGCATCCATGAATTCCTTGGGAGCACAGATTGGGCCACACGGAAGGCAGCTGCTGATGCTTTGAGTGCTTTGGCACTGCATTCAAGCAACTTGATTGCTGATAGAGCAGCTTCAACGATAACAGTACTGGAGGGTTGCCGCTTTGACAGGGTAGCTTTCTAGAGCCATTTCTCTTTCATATAATGTTTATATATTTACACTCAACACCGAATGTATAATCTGTGGTTATTAAATTTTGATACTTTTTTTGGGGATCACACTGGTCCAAGACCATCTACTTCTTTTCTTCTTTTCATGAACTGATCTAGTCTGTTGACTTAGGGAAAATTATGTGTTATCTATCAACATAGATTTCCTTTTTTTGGTAACTTGAAATAATTAGAATTCCTAGGGTTAATTGTGTGCCAGAAAGTGTTTAGGGTTAATAGATGATGTGGGTTTAGACTGGATAAGTTCATGCTTTCTATATTGTTTTAAAGCGACTTTAAGTTAGCACATTATGATTCAGGAAGGCCAGGATTTTTGTCTGATTCTGTACTAATCAATGTCACTCATGCATTGTGATCCTCTAAATAATGTTGCTCCTGCGTTTTTATCCTTCACTGCCATCTCCTTTAATGGTGCATATATGGTGGATGTACATTACTCAACACTGCCTTATGGAATTTTTATTGTGTTGTAATGTTCAATCATTGGTTAAATAGATGAAACCTGTTAGAGATAGCATGACAGAAGCATTGCAATTATGGAAGAAGATTGCAGGAAAAGGGGAAGATGGATCTGCAGATGACCAGAAAACCTCGTCTCATGGTAAACATGTTGGTTATGTGCTTTTAAGTTTTATGGGTTGTCCTTCTGGCGTTTAGTCCTTTTCTCTTAATTAATGCTGTAGATGGTGAAAATGCTCAATCAGCTGAATCATCTGAAAAGAATGGCTTTAAAATTCGAAATGTTGATGACAAAAATCCAGATCCATCAGCAAAGGATTCATCTAATAATCTGTCCCCTACTTCGGATTCTGTTTCCAAAGGGAAAGGTGGAAGCATTCCTGACAAAGCAGTTGTAATTTTAAAGAAGAAAGCTCCTGCATTAACAGATAAAGAGTTGAATCTGGAATTCTTCCAGAAACTGGAAACAAGGGGTTCTGGTGATTTGCCAGTTGAAGTAGTTGTTCCTCGCAGATATCTTAATTCTTTGAACTCGAAGAATGAGGAAGAGTCAGAACCAAATGATCCAGCCTCAAGAAGAAGGTCGAATGGTGTGGGAAACAGCCAAGTGGATGATTTTCATGCAACTTCCAGCAACAAAAACAGTAACATAGAGAGGGGAGCTGCTGGTATGCGGGACAAAGGGCCTGAAGAGAAGATAGATGGAAAAGATCTAAGAAAAAGGGCATTTGATGCTGATGACAGGATAGATGTAAATCGAAGGGAGCCATCTGGAAATCGTTTGGGTTTCTCAAAGCTAGGTGGACAGTCAGAAGGGTCCTTGATCAGCAACAAAGGAAATTGGTTGGCTATCCAGAGGCAGTTGTTGCAGCTGGAGAGACAACAAGCGCATCTCATGAACATGGTGCAGGTATTTCCCCATTCTGCATTCAGACATGGTTCTGGTTAGTGCTCTTCTGATTGATAGGATTCCTTGTTATGTTGCAGGATTTTATGGGTGGTTCTCATGATAGCATGGTAACTTTGGAGAACAGAGTCAGGGGTCTTGAGAGAATTGTTGAAGACATGGCTAGGGATTTATCAATATCATCAAGCAGGAGAGGTGGTAATTTTATGGTGGGGTTTGAAGGATCTTCTAATAGACCTTTAGGGAAGTATAATGGCTTCTCTGACTATAGCTCCAAGCTCAGTGGGCGAATTCCATTTGGAGAAAGATTTGTCCAATCTGATGGAATTGCTCCAGGTTTGAGGGGAAGGGGACCTTCTTGGAGATCTGAAATGTCTGATGATTGGGATTTCCCCGGATTTGGTGCTTCCAGAAATGGGCAAGTTGCTTCAAGAAGAGCTCCAGCTAGCAGCAGCCTGGATGGTAGGTCACCCAAATCAGAACATGATAGCGATCAGGCTGGAAGCAGGAGAGCTTGGGATAAGGACCCTGGGCCTGAGAGGCTTGGTGAAGGGCCTTCAGCGAGAAGTGTCTGGCAAGCATCAAAGGATGAAGCTACCTTGGAAGCAATTCGTGTAGCAGGGGAGGATAGTGGAGCATCTCAAACAGGACGTGTTCCTGAATTGACTGCTGAAGCTGTTGGTGACGATAGTGTTGGACCAGAGCAAGATCCTCTCTGGACTTCTTGGAGCAACGCAATGCATGCCCTTCAAGTAGGTGATATGGATTCTGCCTATGCAGAAGTTCTGTCTACAGGGGATGATCTTTTGCTTATTAAACTAATGGATAGATCGGGCCCTATGGTTGACCAACTATCAAATGAGATAGCAAATGAGGCCTTGAATGCTATTGTGCAATTTCTTCTGGAGCAGGATTTGTTTGATATTTGTCTATCCTGGATTCAACAGGTATGGGTTCTTAAATCTTTGATCATTTTAGTTCAATCTGCTTTATTTAGACATTTTCTTTGTTAAGTTTCTTATTAGTTTTTATTTTCTTATATAACTTTTCAGCTGGTCGAAGTGGTGTTAGAAAATGGAGCTGATGCATTGGTTATTCCCATGGAGTTGAAGAAAGAGCTTTTGTTGAATTTGCATGAGGCAGCTTCCATGATGGATCCACCGGAGGATTGGGAAGGTGTGGCGCCTGACCAACTTCTATTGCAGTTGGCATCAGCCTGGGGAATTGAGCTGCAACAGTTTGATAAGTAATCTGCTGGTTTTGGAATGTGTATTGTGCTTTACTGGTTTAGTACAGTTATTTTACATGAAGTAAATGGTAAGTGAAAGAAAAAAAAATGGTTTCCAAACAGCTATCATGGCATCTGTTATAAAATATTGATTGATTCAAAGCTGGCTTATGCTAATTACACATTTTTTATGTCATGTAAGATAGTCGCCTCTTATGTAAATGTAACTATGTGTGAGATGCCTTTTAGCCAAGAGATTTGTCATGAAGAGCTTATTGTAAAGAGTAATTTTATATTCGTTTGCTTAAAACCTTGCAGAAGACACTTGGTTTTCAATTTTGACCACAAGTTAAAATGACAGTAAAATGAATCCGCTGGAAGGGCATGGGAAGATAATCTTTTATGAATTCGTGAGTTTTAAGATCGAAGTGAAAAAAAAAGACTTATGTTTTAGGATTAAATTTGTAATTATCTTTGGATCATGCTAAAATTTTCTAAAGCATTTCTTTCATTCATAGTTTCTTGATTCAAAAATGAAGGAAGCAAGTTCTACAATTTTTCAGCAAATGAAACCAGAAGGAACAGAAACAAAGTTGGGTTAATGGAATGATGCAGTAACATTTGATAAAGCTCCTCCGAATTGAAGGAGGTCATGATAGAACTTTTCCTTTCCCTACTAACTCTTAGAAAGCTGACCCTCCAAGGATTTAAAAAGAAATGAGATTTGAGTTGACCCCATGGATTGCAGCTCGCTTGCAACATGAAATGACAGAGTTTGATGTGCTCCATTAGCAGTTATTCTCTTTGTTTTTTGCCCTCTTCTTGTACCTTCATTTCATTCCAAGGTTTTTCCATATCTTCATCACTATGCCTACCGGGGGAAACTGATTTCTTGTTTGTCAACTGTTCTCCCCTTCTTCTGGTTCATTGCTTGTAGTTAAGTACTCAAGAGCTGTTACCACATCACTCATCAAAGGCCGGGCACATGCTTCTTCCTGCAGACACATTGCTGCAACTGCAAGTGCTTGATGGAGATTCTTAACAGGATAATTCCCATCCAGCAATGGATCTGCCATTGATGTGAAATTCCTTCTGTCTTTGAATAAGGGTGTTGCCTACAAAAGGGGATATAATCAGTGTTATGGAAGAATGGAAGTTAGAAATGTATAGTTGGCGGATCTATACGTTGAAGTATAGTGTCCATGGACACTCTAAAGATTGAAAAATGAAAAATTTAAAAGAAAAATTTCCTTGAAAATCCCTAAAATTGTTCGTTGGACACCTTTTTCATTGACAAAATTAATAAACCAGTCAGATAATTTTTTTATATATATTATAAGTAGATACTCTTGGAAAAATCCGTTACACGATACCCTTTCATGATTCTTTAAAAAATAAAACATTCCATACTTACCCAAGTGACAAGATTCTGTTCTTCCGTTGGTCTTGAATTGTCTATCACTCTTCTTCCAGTGATTATCTCCAAAAACACAACTCCAAAGCTGTAAACATCGGATTTTGTAGTCAACTGGCCTGTTAGTGCATACTCCGGTGCACAGTAGCCATAGGTACCCATAACCCTGGTGGATACATGTGACTTATCTCCGGTCGGACCAAGCTTTGCAAGTCCAAAATCTGAGAGTTTTGGATTGAAATCCTGGTCTAGTAATATGTTTGATGCTTTAAAGTCACGGTATATTACTGGGGGATCAGCTGTTTCATGTAAGTATTCAAGGCCTTTAGCAGCACCTATTGCAATTTTCATCCTGGTATTCCAATCCAATGGTTTCTTGTCTGGACGTAAATCTGAAAGGCAGAGTTACAGACAACTGAGTATGTTCATCAAAACAATACAAATGGAAGTTCTAAAACTGCAGCAAGGAAATTGTTTTAAATTTCAATTATCAGAATCCTCCAAAGAATAACTGATGCAAAAAGGTCTTTTCACTTAAAAATTTCAAGTTCTGAATCACATTATCCATCTCAGTCTGAAGTTATGTTACTAGTGTTATAGCAATAACCCAAACAACTTGACTTCGGAGTTTAATTCAGTTGGTTCATGCAATCACCAGTGATATCTAGTAAGTTTTGGGCTCAAATTCCAGCACTTGCAATCCTTTCTTCTATGTCTAGGCTGCAGCCTGTGTTATAAAAAAGGCAAACAACTTTAAATGCTAAACAATACCTAGAAGGTGATCCTCCAAGGAGCCATTAGCCATGTATTCATAGACCAAAATCCTTTGATCGCCATCCGCACAATATCCAACCAATTTTACAAGGTTAGAATGATTGAGTAGACTCAACATCAAAACCTCAACCAGGAATTCTCTGTTTCCTTGATATCCATTCCTGTCAAGTTGCTTGACAGCAATAACCTGAGCATGATTGAACAACAATAATAAGGTTACTAACTAAATGTTAAACTGACAATTTTAAACACCATATGATATGATACGAAAACAATAAAGAATATACGAAAACATATATTTGTTTGACAAAAACAAAAAATATGTTTGTGACAGGACAATTTTCATGTTTTACACATATTAACTATTAAGTAGATGGACATCGGTATGCAATGGCCAGTATACTAAATATCATGCAAACTATACATTTTTTTTTGGTTAAAACCTCTTTTTAATGTAAAGTAACAAAGAGGTGAGATTTCAAATTGTACTTGATTTGGGTTTTCAATTTTCCCCTTGTAGACCCTCCCAAAACCGCCTTCACCAAGCTGATTTTCAGGGTTGAAGTTGTTAGTGGCGGTGCATACCTCACGGTAATTGAAAATCTTAGCAGTTATATTTCCTTTACCCCTTTTTGTTATTTCTTGGGTGATGTATCTCTTTCTGCTGCTATCTGTCAAAGGAAAAAAAAAAAAAATTGTTCAAGCATGAATCAACCACCTGGAGTTTTCAGGCAGATGAGAAAAAGAACTTTGTTTAAAACTTTAAATGCATAACAAGATCTTAGATCTAACCCTTCTTTCTCATCTTTGTACCATAACCAAAATATAAAATCAACATATTGATTATTGCAGCAGCAATGAAAGTCTTTTCATGATGATATCATTGATATGAGGCCTCAACAGGGTGACCAAGGATAACAGGAATGAAGCTGATCTTGGCTTGGCAATTAGAGTGTTTTCATGATTTTAAAAGAAATCTAGAAAATTGAAGCATACAATATTCAAACTGACTTTTTTTTTTTTTTGCATACCATTCATGAAATGAATTGAGATTTGAATAAGAAAAATAGGGTCTGGAATTACATATGCAAACATATGTTCCTCCATTACATGTTGATGGATAACAAAACAAGGATATGCGGACCATGAAAGATATCAATAGAACTAAAGGGAAATAAAGAATGATGCATATTCTCAAATCAAATCAGGGTTTTGTAGAATCAAAGATGATCTACAGGGTAACAATTGTACCACTCTTAAAGGAAATATTGGCAAATGAAGCCATGGTTTTTGTGTCATGATATTCCTTGATGCTTTTCTCTAATGACCTTCTGCTTAGCCTCTCTTCTGACATGCAACAGGAAAAACAGTTCATTTTGGTCTTCCTTGTCATGGCAACAATCCAATTCTTGAACCAAATGTTTAAATGGCTCAAGTTTTAAGACAATTGACAGCAGAGCTGTGGGAAACCTAACTCCAGGAATACAACATCTATCTGGTCCCTCCGGAGGGCACGAGGAAAATTTTCTCGTAATGTCTGTTTTGATTCTTGTCTGTCCAAATCCATTGAGGCAGATAGCCAAAAATAACTTGGTCAGATCTGCTAAATATAGAAGCAGACAGATATTTTCGCATTTGTTAACAACCTCTCTCGTTATCAGAAATGCAAAATGGTTTTTGATCATGAGCTTTTCTTTCCTTATATTTCCATTCCATTTAATTCTCATCTCGCTACTTGTCAGCTCCATACTCCATTGTAAACAAATTTATTTGACTCAGATTATCTACAAATAATAACCTCCAATCTTTGTCAATGGTTTTCTTTTCAGGAATTCCAGCTTGTAGCTTTAGATAGTGCCCTGCCCCTCAATTTCTCTAAGAAACAAGAGAAAAAGAAAGAAATGGAATCAGATGGTATATAAATGCTCAAGTGCTTGTATTAAAACTTTGGAAATTTCATCTTGAATGTTATTTTGTTTCATAAATTAATCATAGGATTTAAAAGTTTTGAGTTAAAGACAGGAATTAGTACAGAATCTTGGTACTAAGACATCAGTTAGAGCATAACTTGTTTTTTTTTTATTATAAATCCTTTCCTAAAATGCATCTCTAATTCTCAGAAATTAGCATTGCATCAGTTGCCACTGCCCTCAATGAATCATTAATAAGCCAAGATTAATATTTTTTTTTCCCAAATAAAGTCCAGTGCAAAAATGGCTACATGCAATGGTGTTGAAATGAATTTTCTCATAGGACTTCTAATTATCTCATGTGGCAAAGAAAAGAGGAAAGAAGTGAAGAAGTTGGATATTATCAGACTAAATGGAAGACAAGAACTAGCTGTTCTTGTGTATATGATCCTAGGATTTAGAGAAAGCATTTGCAAAAGAGTGGAAATATTAATATGGGGCAAAAGAAGGGAAAAGAGAGATTCAAGATGGTTATAAATAAAATGAAATATCAGTAAAAGAACAGAAAGATATGCACAGCAATCATTAGGGCAAATTTCCACCCCCAAAATAGCTTATATACTGCTAAAAACAGATATGGTAAATGTGAAAGACAGGAAGGAATTCAAACTGTCACGTTCCGAAACCGAGACATAACACGATTATTAAAGGTGAGTAAAAGTCGGTTTGAACCGATTAGATCGACTGAAATCGAGTGAATTCGATTGAATTAGTTTGGTTTATCCGGTTTTAATTATAATCGATTTTTTAAATCGATTAAATTGGTTAATTCGATCGATTTTCGATTTTTAAAATTGATAATCAAATTGACCGAATTAACCTATTTTTTGATAAGTAAAGATAAAAAAAATTGAGATAAATATTTTTATTTTTTTCTTGTAAAATATTGTTGAAATTATTAAATTATTTAGTCATTTAGTTGAATGATACTTAAGTTTGAGTTTTATTAAATTGAATTTGTGATTAAATAATTATTTATAATAAGAAAAAAAATGATAAAAAATTAATTATTTAACTGAACCGACCAAACCGAACCAATTTTGGTCGCTTATTTAAAAATATTTGATTGATTCGATTATTTGTTAAATAAAAATAAGTTAAATCAGTTATTGATTTTTTTCAAACTGAATCGATTGAATTGACCAATTACTCACCCCTTAACGATCATATTATTTTGAAATAAAATTCTAAAGTAATATTAAACCTTTTATTTAATCATTTTAAAATTCTTCAAAAAAATAATCTATTCAAGAAAATTTGTACCTTTAATTCAACTAATGAGAAATCTTCATATTTTCAAATGCAAACTAATAAAAATACTAAATCGCTTCATAAGAGCTTACTAACCAATAATGTCTCCAATGTTTGAGCAATTTTTTGGACCTGATCCTTTAGTTTCTTATATAACTAAGTAAACTTATTACTTATTCATCTATAAAGAAAAAATAAAAAGGGGATGAGTAAACTAGAACTAAACAAATATAGGCTCATATATCATACTTGATTAAGCATCATTTTTATGCATATCATAAAGATAATTCAAAATATTCATCAAATCATAATGTCAAAACATTTCAAAAGTTATCGTTTTGTCAAACATTTTGTAAATCCATAAATTCATGTCAAAATATGTCAATTCATAAATTATTACAAAAGAAGCTAGTATTCAAATATTGTAATCAAACCAAATCATTAATCAATTATTAAAAATCATCGTAAATCATATTTGTATACAAATCATGGTTCAATCTTTAAGAATCATTACAAATCATCTTGAATCATTAGTTCATTGTTAGTTACGGTTATTATTATAACTCGTGACATTGGTCATATCGATAATTTCATCATGATGATCATTGTTAACTATTATAACCCGTTAGTCAGGATTTAATGCTAACTACTATAACCCGTTAACAGAGCCATATGATCATAGTTATGCTAATTATTATAACTTGTTAGTTAGGACTGTAGAACTAGTTCTAGTATCAATAATCCTATTTTCTAGGAATGTAAAACGTAGCTATCATAAAATCGTTATTTACGCATAAATTTTTTTTTATTTCATTCATAATCATGATCCATTATTTATATAGCAAAATATAAAATAATCATATGCTTGATCCTATTTTCATATATAAAAAATAAAGAAATAAAATATTTATTTATTTAAAAATATATATATATATATACATAGATTCAAAAACAAGTAAAGTGTGTAATATTCTACTAACCTCTTTTTAATTCCACCAATTAGTTTTTTTCCCAAAATATTTATTGACCTATTCAAAATAATTTCAACGTAACAGAAATTAATCAAACCACTTTGAGACAAATTATACTAAAAATAATTAATTAAATAAGAGTTAATTTAACTAATTAATATTAACAGCCTGAGTTCTTTTCATTAAAACAGCCTTGTCTCAAAATATCCAATTCGAAATTAAAATATTTTTAATGTGTTAAAACCTAAACTTGATAAGCTTTTTAACGATTTATGGCCCATCTCATGATTCTTTATAGATTAATTATAATAATTTTTGTAATCTACGTTATATGCTGCTGTTAGATAGTATGTATACTTTCTAATAAAAATTACATATTTATTCATAAGAAACTCCAAATATAATTTCGCTTGCTTCGTTGGAAAATAGACTCAATAAACTTTCTAAACATATATGGCTTAATCTGTAATTCATTGTATAAAAATTAAGAGGAATTTCTAAATTCCTCTCTACTGCTACTATTAGGCAGCCTGTGTATCTTTAAGTTAAAATTAAATTACTCTTCATAGAAAATTCAAAACAGACATTTGTTTATTTCATTGAAAAGTAAATTCAGCAAACATTCCAACAGTATATAATAAATATTTTATCCTTTAATATAGAATATTATGTTAATCCACTACTGTCAACACCATGATTCATACGAAATACAAATTTTCCTTTTTAATCTCATCAAATTTTTATTTCTTATTTTTACAGCACTAAATTCACATTATTAAACTTTTTCAACATTTTATTAGACCTTAATTAAACCCAAACCAATCTTAAAGAAGAATAATGGATTTGCTAAAATTTTAAAATTTCTTTATTACAAGTTAAACGTTAAGATTTAATAATAAACATTATTTCTCTAAAATTGTAGGAAATTAGTTACTTACTTTTGAAAGACAATTTTTCTTGTAGATTTTGTTCTTATTCTTCACTTGAAATCCTTTGATTTATCTGTTTTATATAAGAAAGAAAAGAAAAATAACCTTTTATTTTATTTTCATTAATTGTCAACTAAAAATAATAATATAAGTTAATCCTATTAAAAATTAAATTATTTACTGATAAATCCTTTACCTTTCTAACTTTTTTTTAAATGCTCCTTTCACTTATAAAATGCTTAAAAAAAAATTTTTTTTTACGAGTATTACAATAAATGTGGAAGGCTGGAAGGAATTCAAACAACTTGTTATACCTTAGTTGCCTACTCAATATATTGAACGTCGAGTCAGTACCTGTTAAATCTTCTACTGATTCTCAATCTCGCTTTGCTTTCCTACCTTCTCTCACCTACTATACATTGCTGATTTGAGCATTGGAGTGCACTCTAGAGTCCTACCTGTATCGCCTTGATGTCAGCCAACTGACCGAGCCTTCCAACAAGCATCCGATTACCATACCCATAAAACTACCAACAAAACTAAATTGAAGTTGATTGATATTAAAAAATGAAATTCACTTGTTAAAATGCAACATATTTGTGTAACTTCCCAGAACGATAGTACTTGACATATGAATCCTGTAATTCGCAGATGTTGATCACAACTGACAATGAAATACATAATCTTAAGAGCATTCCATCAATTTAATTCTTTGCCCTGAACTCAGCATATATAAGAAGGATTCAATCCATTCCTGACCTCAGAGTAATGTGTCAAGCTAAGATCAGAAATGGTAGAGGAATTCGTGAACTCGGATAGTGTTGAATCTCACTCTATCAACTAATCTAATTCTAAGGGAAGAGGTACGCGTAAATAAAGAAAATATCAGAAGAATAAAGGAAGAGAAACAATAAATGTTCATTTAGTGTCTCCCATTGTCTACTGCATAATAAGCTTACATTTTGCATTAGCTGTTCAACCTTTTCTACCCAATTCTCACCGCCATTAACAACTATAATACTAGCCACTGTCACAAAAACTTAGTTCTAGTTCATGTGCTGCATGTAAATTCTGGGATCAGTTACAAGGGAAACTTGTAAAGAAATAATGCATCAGTCTAAGCTGCAAGAACTAGCATTAGATAATCTACTGAATCTGTTGTATCTGTGCAGATGAAGTCAGGGGTGTTTGTACTACTATGGTTCAGATGAACCCCATCTAAAATGATTCTCCAATTTGTTGCGAAATCTTTTTTCCTTCAGCTCAGCCAACAGTTTTTCAAGCCTGGAAATCCGAGCTTCAAGCTCAAGTCCTAGTGTTGAGAGGTCACGAGTGTTACTGCCTTCTCCTCCATCTTTGAGACCTGGTTTGATCTTGACATCATCTGCCATCACTCCTTTTGATTTTCCTACTGACCTTTCATTCCTTGTTACCTCTGCATCCTGTTTCACTTCTGATTTGATCTTTTTAACTTCTTCTTTTTCTGCAATGAAAGTTGGCACATTTTGAATTTCACCAACTGATAAAGGCGGGACATCAACAGCCAGTGTGAAACGAAGCTTAACTTCACTTAGTTTCATATTTGCTTCCATCTTTGCAAGTGTTTCAATTTTTTTAGTTGAAGATAATGGACTTTGAGCACACAAGGGAGAATCACTCTCACCAGCCATTACAATTTCTTCGCTGTTATGCTTAGCACTTGTCAACAATTCCCTTATTGTTAATTGATCTTCCATGTCCTCCTCCTGAACCAAATCCCCTGCTTCATTTTCCTTGGTAGAATTCCCTCCGCTAACTCCTCCATATTTCAAATGATCATCAGGAGAGAAGTGAATGTGGCACTCTTTTCTCCTTACTGAAACATGCTGTAAATTTCTTGAACTCCTAGGCCTCCTAACAAATGGCCTGATAGCATCACAATGAGCCAGCATTGATTGCTTCCACCAATCTGAGTACTGTGTGGTAACATCTGACTCAAAAAACCGTCCTGGTATATATAACACTGCATCTTGAATTGGCCTGCTGTAATTCCTCCAAGCTATTTCAGGATTTCCATTGCATCTGGCAACGCATCCTGGAATATCTTGATCCATTCCAAACTGCATTGCAACCCGATGTGGGAGGTACTGCTCTATGCTTTCTACTCCAACAAGCTCACTTACCCTCAAACATCTAGCAAAGGATTGAATCTCTTCGTTCAAACGAGAATCAATTAATATGTACTGTTCTTTATCACCATAAAACTTTGGCAAAGACCAACCATTAACTGCTATAGCATAAGGCCGCCATTGAAAACTTTTTCCTGCGGAGTCTATGGCCAACTTCATATCATCAACATTCACCTTAAGCCTATGCCATCTTGCTAACCTTGGCTCACCATGCGAGATTGAATTAGCCATTGGCCTCAATCTTGGAAATCTTTCCCAAATCCAAACCTGCACTAACTGAAATGGAGCATAAAGATTAGCCAACTCATTAGTTTGCACCACATTTGAGCCAAAGAACCAATCTTTAAGTAGACTCAAGTCCCTATATATGCTAGATAACACTGCTGGTGCAAGAGCAACCTGGGTACCTCTAGCCAAATGAATTGCAATAGGAAAAACATGCTTTCCTATATATTTAAATGAAGTAGATTTCACAAGAACAAAGTTGGATAACCACAAGGAAAGGAAGGCTTCATGCTCAAGGTCATGTCCAGTTCCCATGAAATAGTCCATCCATGCATTATGCGTGGCAACCAAGGAACTCCATCTTGCAGCCTCTTTGCGCCCTTCAATTAGTTTTTCTTCAAGTTCAACCAGTTGTTTAGTCTTTAGAGTGCTTAAAACAGATGCACCAAGAACAGAATAACCCCCACAGACCATCACATCTTCCAAGGTTATTGTTGCTTCACCCCAAGGAAAGATAAAAGTACTAGTATCAAGAGACCATTTTTCAGCAATACCAAGAACAAGTTCTTTGTGTTGTTTCATATCATACATGGAACTCATGACTGCCTCATAAATACCAACCTGCTTCCACAAAACTTGGTGCTTGGGATGCATGTTTCGAACCCATCTTTTCCATTTCTCTGTTGGATGTTTCCAGCCTTTGAACAACACTTTTTCAGACAAGTCTTTGAAGTCACAAGTAAGGGGCTTGGGGGAGAAACAATCCATAGGAAGCTCAGAAACTTTTCCAATATTTGAGGTGGCAGTTGGATTGAGAAAGTGGGCTTTTCTTCTTGTAGGGTATCCACCAGTTGGTGAAACCATGAACTCTTCCCTCTCTTCAACAATGGTCTCTGATTGCTTCTCCATTGTTGCTGTTGGAAAGTTTCAAAAATCTTTCATTTTTGCTGCAACTCAAAGTCACAAACTTTGGATCTTTTGAAACTTGAAACTCTGATTAAAAACAAGTCTTTGCCAATTGGTTGGGAAAGCTTTATGGGAAAAACTGGCATAGTTCCATTTTTGTTAACCTACAGCTTTTATTGAGTACTGATTTGTTTGGTTCAAACAGAAAATGGAGATTCAAAAGGTAAAAAGGCAATATGCAGTCCTCATAAGTTCAGACTTCAGAACTTCCTTTTTTAGCTAGTTTTTGTTTGATAGGATGACTTCTTTTTTGGTAAAATAATTGGGATAAACCCGAAAAAACGACAAAATACTAAAGAAAGATAGGATTTTCTGCTAAGAAAATCAAACAGTATCACTGCTGTCTGAACGTAACTTGGACCGAGCGGACAACTTTGTGTATATTTATTTTTTTAACAGGAAAAAATATAAAAATTATTATATTATAATTTATGTAAATACATTATATTTTTTAAGATTTGATAAATTGTATATAAATATAATAATTTAAAATATGATACAGTAATATAATATGAATATAATATAAAAATAAAATAAGAAGATGATATGTCTTGAAATTATAACAATAATTATATATAAATTTAACAAAACAAAAAAATTATATTTTATATTTTTATATCGATACAAATTATAAAACGTAAATTTTTTTATAAAATATTATATAAATATATAAATTTTAATATTTTATATTATATAAATATATGAATCGTCATATCTAATTATATATAAATAATAAAATTAAAATAGATACAATTGAAAATAATAAATGGATGAATTACATTTGAATTGGATTATTTTGAGTTAAATTATTTTAAATTAGAAAAATTCAAATAATTTTGAATTTGGATCAAATTAAATTTGAATAAAAAATTATTTATATTATTATTAATTTTTTGTAACTTTAGATTTATAATCAATTAAGAATGAAGAAAAAATATTCTTAATTGAAATTATTTTTTTTATCTAGTCATTTTCTCTTTATGTCACTTTTGGTTCAGATTATGCTGAGCTTCAATGATCATGTATGTTTTTAGATAGTTGACTTTTCGTTTCTATCATTGTGAGCTTTATTTCTGGAAAAAATGGTGCAGCGTGGAAGGTTCAAGCAACTGCTTCAAGCTTTAGGGTTATCTTTATAATAATTTGTATTATTGTATTGTATAAAATATTATATTTATATGATATTTTATATAAAAATAATTTATTATAATTTATTAATAAAAAAAATATAAAATATAAAATATTAATTTTATTAAATCTATTTATAATTTTTTTAAAATTTTAAATTAAATTATTTTTATTTTTTTAATCATACCAAATTATATTTTAAATTATCAAATTTACTTTATGTTTAAATATTTGGGCTCATGCCTTTGAAGTCTAGATATTGAACCCATTGGGCATATAGCCCATTTTGGTAATGTTATGAATGTACAAATTGAATGTTTCAGTTACCATTTTTGCTAATAATTTTATAAGTTGATCATAACCCTTTGTTGATGGTGTCAATGGTTTGACGATATGATGCTTTGTTGGGAAGTTGATTTGATGGTTAATTTAAAAATTGAAGTAATTTATAAGAGAAATTGGAGGTAAGATTTTGAAGTACATTTCGACGCTTTAATCAATAAAATATAAAAAATAATAAAAATAATAAAAAAAAGAATAGAAGAAAAAAGTAAGAGAATAAGTGAAATGAAAGTGAAAAGATCATAATGAGTGATTTGTATTCGAACTTTATTTTTTATTATGAGTTTGTGCTAACAAGATCGGATGATTTGCTTAATATTAGTCAAATATTAAACTAAATTGATAATGACTAAGATATTGATCCAGCCAACAGATATAATACCTTCAAAAGATAATTGATTAACTACTAAACCCATGATTCAATAAGCATACACATTTTAACATAACAGGCCAAGAGCTATGTAAATGTCATGAACACAAATGCAGTAGGACCTTAAAAAATTTAACACCTCAATAATCAGTCTCATGTAATAGAAAAATTCATTACATTAGCCAGGTTCAAGCATAATAAAGCAAGAAAACACTGCAAAATGACTATATTAGTTCTAAACAATGAAGTTCTAATTCCACTTCAGTAACTAAAGGGACAAAAATGAAACGAAGAGATAAAAATCAGAAAACTACTATAGTTTCTTCTGTTCCTGGTTTTCCTAGTTCTTCATTTTGGGCTTATTCCTGCCAGTTTCTCCCATCTGCTTACCCTTCCTTCTAATTCTAGTCCAAGTTTCTGAATTGAACCTGAAGTAGTAGCTTTGATGGTAGCATTTTCAGAGTTCTTGGGAAACCCTTCAGCCATTATTGTCTTGCTTTCTTCACCAATACCTTTAACTGATCCTTCAAATCTTTTCTTCTGTTCAACTCTTGCGCCATGCTCAGATACATCCAATGCACCATTGCCATGACCAAAAGCCTTCGCCCCTTCAAGTTTTTGGTCAGAACCACCAGCGTTTATTTGGATTCGAGCACTGCCATCAAAAGGTAGAGTAGTTGCTTTGCTTCTGGCATTTCCATTGGGAAGTCTTGAAGTTGGGGAATCAGTGGTTCGGAATTGGCAGCATGGTGAAGCTTTATGAAAGCCAGCTCTTCTTTTTGGGGTGCCAAAAGATGCTTCATGCGTTGTGAAAGATGGATATTATCTGTATCACTGTAACTATACGCTTTATATGGCGGTCTCTTCACCTTGGAGTCAGGAGCAGCTGAGGCGTGGCTGTCAACGCTGTTGTTATCAGCAGAAACTTGAGTAAATGCATTAGTACTGTTCAAACTACACATTGCTGCGGAATCTTTGGAACTAACTTTGGTCCTTTGGACTTGAATTGGTGGTGATATATGTGGTTTTATGATCTTCTAGCTTGAAATTGTTGCCTGAAGCAGTGAGCACAATGGATAGTCAAGCTCATCAGTACAATCCTGAATCTTATGAGTTTTAGTTTTGGCTGCATATTCCTTTGATAATGAGGAACAGCATCCTTCAGTTTCAGCTTTTGTTGAAACATTTCTATTCTAAATTCTTTTGATGTCCCTCAAAGCTGCTTTTCGAGCAGACATAGATCTAGCCCACCGATTGAAATACCTGAGTCCCTGACTGAAACACACGGCTGAAAAGACCTTGGCAGAACAGCAAATCTAGCATTTTCCCACGAGATGCTAGAAACAGAAAAGGCAGCAGGAAGATCTTGATCATATCCGAACTGCATCGCCACCCTGTGTGGCAAATACTCTTCTTTACAATCTATTCAAACTAACACAGAAGCATGCAAGCATCAAGCAAAAGACTTTAGGTCCTCATCTGGGTTATCATAGTCAAAGTTAAAAATTTAGTCTCTTTATAATATAATGGATGGCCCCAATTTTTCAGATCAGAAATATATGGACGCCACCTAAAATTATCTGGCAATCCAAGTACTGATCTAACAAGTTGCAGGCTGATTTTGGCATTCAGTCGATTGAATCGAGCAGCTGTAGGCTCTCCGGGCTTAAGGGTATTGGGAATAATTGGACCAAGAGAAGGAAATCGTTCAAAGGCCCATAATTGCAGAAGTTGCAATGGACCTGAAGCAGTCATTTCCTCACGAGCAGACATAGCTTGATATTTCAACAATGTCAGGTTTTTGTAAATGCTTGCAAGAACTGCTGGGGCAAGTGCTATTATTGTCTTTGAAGACAAATGAATGGCAACTGGAAAAACTTGCTTAGGAACAATTTTTCTCAGGCAGAGAAGGGAAAACATAACTTGATAGCCAGAGTGACAAGAATGCTACATGTTCATATGCCCTTTCTTCTTCCATAAAATGCTTTATCCAACAACCATGACTACCCTTTTTTGACTTGTTTCTTGACATGATCAAACGTTTCTTGTTCATCTCGTCCTCAATCTTCATCAACTTCCCTTCTAAAGGCCTTCGAACTGAGTCTCCAAGTGTTGAAAACCATCCAAGAATACATCTTCAAGAGTGACAGTTGCTTCTCCCCATGGAAAAATAAATGTGGTAGTTTCAGGACAACCAAACTCAATCAACCCAAGTAGTAAATCCTTGTTACACATGATTTCATATCACATATGCCTGTCAGCTTCCACATGGCAGCCTTTTATGCCAACATTTCAGGCCACTGTTTAAGGTTCTGAGAGAAGATTTCAAACAACAAAGGAGTGTTAGGAACTGTTACAGCTTGTGACACTTTTTGGGCACATGGTTTCAGGAACCTGGCAGTTCCCACAATGGTTTTCCCATCTTTGGGAGATACCAATATTTCATCTCTACATAGTTGAAAAATGGAAGGAGAGCGTTCTTTTGATATTTTTGAAACACAAGAAAAATGGAAAACAGAAGAGTTAGAAAATGTTACAAGGATATGAACAATCCAGACGTTAAAAAATTGCAATAAAAACAAAACCAATCCTCTTTCATCCATGAAATTAGCCCACTACTAGCCAAAAACACAGATATTGGATGTTGCTTGTGAATAAAAGAGTAACTGAAAGGACAAAATTTAGCTCCTTTCCCTAATAAAAAAAGGACAAGAAAAATAACCTTTTTACACACCATATAATTATGCAATAAAGTTGCCATTAATGTACTAAACCTGAGAAATGACAATATACAAAACAGCTTCATTGGATTACTAGATGCCAATATGCCACCCAACAGCAGTTTTGTTTTTTCTAATCATTTTTTTTTTATTTTTTTTAAATTTTCCTAGGTTTAGGTTGTGATTGGTTCACTTTTAACCAAAGAATACCTTTAAGGCACTTTAATTGTACATGAAATGGAAACTGGATGGTCATTAGTCCACTATGCAAAACGGCTAGACTATCAGAAGAACCCTGCTTTCTCTTCAAAAGTCATGTCATGGCTTAACCCTTCAACTCCTTCTCTCTTGTGAAACCAAAGAAACCATTTTGCCCGAAAAAT